ATGGAAAGGTTTGTGTTTTTTTCCTAGATTGGACATATGGCTTAATCATGGTGATTTATATTCTTAGGACCAAGAGGTCTCACAAAAGAAACAGCTACTGAAAAAACTATTGATAAGGTGGGGGTGTGATGGCAGACCACTGTTTTCGGCTGTGGTGATCGGTCAGGTTTAGCATTGTATTCAGAGAAGTAAATTTTCTAAACTACAAAGAAGATAAGTGACTTTCCTGTGCTTTTAAGAAACTCTCTAATATAGATTTTAGGAGGTCTTGGGCACTGAAACCCATTTCTTCCTCTAAAAATGTAGATGATTTTAAAGTCATGAAAAAAAGACTCCAGCATAACAGAATCAAAGCCTATTTTTTAATCATTTTTCCTCACATCAGCTATCTGTTTATTGTGTGTCACAAATGCAGACTCGCCTGCCTTGGAGAAAATTGACTCCTGTTCCTACATAGCAGAGTTTTTCCACCACTCTGTCATGTTTTTTGTCTCTTGAACATGTTTTCTAAGCACAGCAAAATTATTTGACTCAATTCCTGAATTAATGGAGGGAAAGCCAGTGATTTCTACTATGCAGGTCTTTTCAGTGGTTGTAAATTCATTGGGAATAGCCACACTGTGCAGGGATGACACAGAGCAGAGATCCTTCAATCAGAGCCAGATGATGGCTGTAACTCATCAAGGAAAAGGACTGTGCAACGTGGACTCAGTAGCACTCACCTGAAAAGTCCCCAGCTCCACTTGTATGGCCATAGGTCTGAGGGAAGAAACTCAGAACACAAGTTAGGTGCAGTGAGTTTGGCTTCCAGATCCCAGGCTGGACATGCCACATATTTGTATGTGGAGTTATGGGCAAGTGTATTTTTAACATGCCCTGAACAATCTATGTCTCTAGTTCCTGAGACTCCCTGCAGATAATGCCACCATATCCAATCATTTAGTAGCTCCTGAAGTCTGTGCATAGGTAGTCGCAGCTTACACAGTTCTCTGCATAGCACCTGGTTTGCTTGGAGAAAGGATGTAAACACCTCTTGCCTTCAGCAAGTAGGAAATGTCCCAAAGCATCTATTTTTACCAGAGTGAAGTTGAGTTGCCATGTTACAGTTGAAACAAAGAGTAATTAGCAATTCATTGAAAAGATACAAGAAAAGAAATCATACAAAGGGGAGTCCTTGCCGCTATCTCACTTTCCTGATTCTTATCTTTTACTTCCTATTTCTGGCTTTTCATTTTGGACTTTGCAGCTCAGCTTCCTTTCGGTGTTTCCCTTTGAATCTCTGCTTCTTGTATAGCATTGTGCTTATGGCTTTTTGTAAAGGAAGCCTGGGAAAAAGTTGGATCGTTCAGGAATGTACGGTAACATATTTTTAGTTTAGGGACTGCCTTTTGGAAATGAGCAACAAGGGTCACGCATTAAATCTTTTCCTATGTTTAGAGGTATTAATGCTTCCTTCTTATCCCGACTTTATGTGTTCAAAGCACTAGATAATGACAGTGCAAGCCAGCATGCTTAAGTTCAGAAGAACTGAAGTGAATGTCACTCTCTCAGTCTAAAGAGTAAAATGGGCGAAGCCTTAATCATGTGCCATGAGGTATGTAATTTCATGGGCATCTTTAACAGGTGGGTCAAACTTTTCAGAGGGTGTAAATACAAGCTTAAGACCCCCACACAAGCTGCTTTTTCTTGAGAAAGGGATTATTTGTCAAAAAAAAAGAGAAAAATTGTTCTCTGAAGTATTTAGTTGGAAACACACTTCTCAGTGATACTAAACCAGTGATTGCTCAGCTCCCTGTAAATTGTTGAACCTAAGGGTTGAAACCTTTTCAGCTTCTTGAAGGAATGCCAAACATTATATACGGTGATGTAATTATGATGTAAACTGGCACCAAGACAATTTGTACTGTAAATCTGAAAAACAAACAAACAAACAAACATTGATCTGATCTGAATAAGAAAATATTCCAAATTTAAAGTATATTTCTACAAGTTAAACAATGGTGTGAATTTTCTGCTGTTAATAGATGGGGAAGCTTCATCAATTCCCATTGCATCAGTTTTCAAGGGAGAGCTTAGCTCAGGACTTTACTGCATTAAGACAGTTTTTGGAAAAAAAAAAAAGATTAATGGATTCAACAGGTAAAACAACAAAGAAACATTAAAACCAGAGGGAATGACATTGGACTTATTTCACTACTTAACCAGGAGACAGTGGGAAGATCATAGTATCATTATTTCCTCCATAATACTCATGTATAAGCCAGACGTCTATCTGTTCATATTGTTTTCTTCCATTACATGTATTTTTTTATCCATTGTAATAATTTACTTTGGCTTCTAGCTCCAAGCAGAGAATAATTTCCATCATATTCCAAATAATATTGGCTAGTTGCTAGGGGAGTGTGCTGATTTCTTTTACGATTTCTTTTCCTCACCACATCTGTGTGTAATTTTTTTTTGTTTATCATCTCCCTAGGACATTTTCCCTGTGAGAAACCCAAATATGAAATGCAGCCCTTTCAGATCTTGGTTGGTGTTTTATACAAGGAACATTTCATAAATATATTTACAGAATAGGATTTTACCAGCTGGTGTTTACTACCAGGCACAAACATCTAAGTGCATGTGTGGATAGGTCTGCACACTCCTCTGTTATCTCCTCTGAGTGAGCAAGCAGGTATGAATTTAAGGGCAGGTGTGAATTAACTCAAGGGAGACTTAAGGGAGACATTTAAGTGAAAGCCTTCCTGCTCCTTACTGCTGCAGACCTATGAAATCTCATGCACTAAGTATGCAACCTGCTTCTTTGGGGTATTTGTCCCTTGCAAGCAGATTTGGCCAGAGAATTGAAATGGTTACTGCACTTAGCTGTGCTCCCTGGCCCTTCAATCTAACTTAGCCTCTCTCCCACTGAGGGACTGGCCAGTGGGATTTATGTAGGCTCCTCAGTCCCACAGCTTACAGCCTGACCTATTAATATAAACCAATGTCAATTTTAGTTGATGCTAATGCCAGCAGAAATGGGCAGTGATTTACATTACTCAGTTGACTTCTGAACTATGAGGGAGATATTGGGCTGGGTTTTTCTTTTTTTTCTTTTTAAACAGGCTTTTGCCATTTTGTAGTTGTGATGAAGTCAGGGACAGCATATCCATTTCTAATTTATCTCCTCATTATAACTTTGCACTTTTGTGCCTCCTTGGCTTTCGGCAAACTCCACTTCCATGTTTGAAGTATTCCTTTCGTTTCCCAGAGGATAGTTGCTTTGGACTTTGAAGATGAAGTTGTCTGCTACTGCTAATTGCTGTCATCTCATGGCTACCAATGACACTTCGTCAGTTTATATGACGCTTCAACATAATGCTTTAATTTTTACACTTTAAATTCACTGATTGGTCCAAGATTACATGTGAAAACAGGCATGAGCTAGTGCATGTAAACACTGCCAGATGGCAACTGTGATTAGAACTGTATTTAAAGTAATTATTTTCTGTATAAAATGGATGCCTGCAAATATTTGCCTGAGTGTAATGTGTTTGACATGTGTTAAACATATTAAGTCCTCTCCTCTCCTCTCCTCTCCTTTCCCCTCCTCTCCGCCTGACCTCTCCTCACCTTTATCCTATCCTATCCTATCCTATCCTATCCTATCCTATCCTATCCTATCCTATCCTATCCTATCCTATCCTATCCTATCCTATCCTATCCTATCCTATCCTATCCTATCCTATCCTATCCTATCCTACTCAGGTTCTTATGCCCACATTTACCAGAAGCATATGAACAATCTACCAAATTCTACATACAGTATGTTGTTTTAATCATCTTCTTCAGAAGAGAGAAAAGTTAAGCATTTTATTTTGGATCTATCAATTCACATTGGCATTCATGAAGAAAAGGCTTTCCTGATCTCCTGTATTTCCAGCATAGCCCTTCATTTTATTTGGCAGCCTACTGGCAGTCTCCAAGTTGAGACACCAGATTCCCAGATGGCAAGCTGGTCATATACAAGTTTAGATTGATTTGGTTCCCACTAACTTCAGTGGCAGCAACTTTTGGTATTCAAAGACTTATTTATGGCTAGCTTTATTCCTTTTTCCTTTCATGTAGATCTTTCTTCAGAGCAGAAATTTCCATCTCTCTGGTGGCTCATCTGTTTCACTGAACTCTTTGGTTGTTTGCTGTTTCTTGTCAAGGCTCTGGCAACATGCATAAAGTCTAGGAGGGGGGATGGGAGAAATTGAGACTTATTTTTTGTTTATTTACACTGACTTTGACATTGAAGAACAACATCAGATCATCCCACAGAATTTGATCAGGATAGAAATGGTCTAAAGGGGAGAAGGATCAGCCTCCCCCAGATCCATGTTAAGGCTATGCAGAAGGTGCTGGCAATGGATGGGGGTTTCCCCCTTCGGATATGAAGTTGGAGCAGCTCATTAATCATTCTTCTCAACTTCCTGTGGAAGATCTCACAAAATGTTGGTCTGACCTGGTTTTAATTCTAGCAGTGAATCTTCGAGTGAAATATTTAGTTTATCTCCACCTAAATACTTCTTAAATAGTACCATTTCAATGGAGGAACGAAAACCACTACTGAAATATGTGAGCTCAACTGTTACATGGCATGATCTTACTTTGCTCCTTAAAGTAACTGTCCATGTCCCCTTGAAGGGGATGGCAAAGGTTTATTCTTTTAAAGATTATTCTTTCAGCAGTGAGATGATTCAGTGTGATTTTCTTTTGGCCATATGAGCTGTGTTAATGAGGCAGAGCTGTCCTGTCAGCAATGTGCCCAATGTCAGAGTGATCCCTGTCCTGCAGGAAGGTATGCAACCTACTCGGGGTTGGGGATTTTTTTGGTTGTGTGTGGGTTTTTTGTTTTTTTTTTTTTTTCTTTTGGCAGACGTCCTTGAGCATTTGAGACGGATGTGAGAGAGTTTTTAGTCCTCATGCAAAACAACCAACTAAACATAACAGATTACATCAGCTCAGGCTTTTCAATTCCTGGATGGCAGCAGAGTGCTAATCCAACCTTCATCCTGGATTTCATAAACTGAAACAAGGGAGGCTGGCAGAAGCAGCGCTGCCGGATTGAGGAAGCTGACGACGGTGCAGCATGTGGGCAACACACTGTATAAAGCTCATAAACTTGTAGGCTGATGTGTGCAGCTACCACTTTGGATTCTGTACTGCTGCCTTCCCCCGGCACAAGGCACCAGAAGGCTGAGCATTAAAGCTTGCTCTTTGGGACGGAGCATTTACCCCTGCAAGACATGAAGGGCTTCCTGTTTCTCACACTCTTCCTGATGCCCGTGCACGCTGGAACTGCTTGGAGTGCGAAATACGCAGTAGATTGTCCTGAGCCCTGTGACAGTAACGCATGCAAAAGTACCTTGCGCTGTAAGCGAACGGTGCTGGATGACTGTGGCTGTTGCAGAGTGTGTGCAGCTGCTCTGGGGGAGACTTGCTATCGTACAGTCTCGGGTATGGATGGTGTCAAGTGTGGTCCTGGGCTGAAGTGCCAGTTTTACACTGAGGAGGATGACTTTGGTGATGAATTTGGTATCTGCAAAGGTAACAGTATTCACTTTGCATGCACCTGCTGTGGCAATTTGACAGCAACCTACATATAGAGCTTGCCTCCTGCTTGGAAGGTCTAAAGTGGGATTTTTCCAGCTCAGCCCTTAGCCAAGAAGAAAGTGAAAAATACCTGTTGGTATTAAAAGATGTTACATGTAGGTGGGACAGGGTTATTAATGTGAGAATGTTGTTTAGATTTGCGGACATGTGTGAGGAAATATGGATGGGGTGTGCTCGGAGATGAGATTTTTTGGCTGGGACTTGGAGACCCAGGCACTAGTCCTGATCCTTCCACTGGTTTGGTGGGTGGCTTTCTATAAATTGCAAAGACTTTAATCCTGCAAGTCCAACCTAGTCATGGGGTCCCCACTCCTGTTACACTTCTGCTGGGTTAAGGTTCCCTTGGTTCCCTTGGGCACTGCCGGCTGCCTGCCCAGGGACAAGGTGCTCTCTCTGGGGTCTGGGTGATGGAGGTAACAGCACTGCCTGAGTGCCTGGGGATGTCGTGGTGTTTAACTCAGTCCTTCCTTTGAGGTGCTCAGCTTCCCTAGGGATGTGGTCAGGGGAGGCAGAAACCCTTCTGCCCGAAAGATGGGAATAACATAACAGGAGCTGACTGTGAGGTGTGCAGCCAGCCACTGCTCTCTGCTTATTCCAGGTATGCTGCATGCTGATTTCTATAGTCATAGACTATCATGGCATTTTTCATTTAAGAGCTATCCTCTCTCCATGCAAAAAAGAGAATCTTTAAAAGAAGAGAAGGTATTAAATTACCAAGAAATTAAAGTTTTTAAAATAAATAATTTTTTAAAGTCTTTGAAAAGCATGAATGCAATGAGTTTTCCTGTGTTTGTGTACCACTTCAATAAGTAGATACAGATATGCCTTTGAATAACTTCCTTAAAAGTGGAGATGTCTTGGCAGTTAAATATCAGGAGTATTAATAGCCTCAGTTAAAGTAATGACTTAGGACCAGATGCTGCAAAAATCATTCAGGCTGACTCACGTTCAGCACACACTTATTAACATTGGTATTTAAAAACAAATTTATGTGCATGTTTGAGAGTGAAACCCAGAACACTACTTTTATTTCTAAAGACTAGAATTTACACATAAAGATCATCTCTTTGGTGCACCCACCAGAAAAGTGTTTTACTGAGATAGTTGACTGATCTTCAGTTTACTAAAAATTACTGCAGTGCAAGATACCACCCATAAATCTTTTAACAGCTCTTTTGAATGATTGTGTACATTTCACTGTCCTCATAGGAATTTCTTTGCAATAGCACACTTCAAATGGGAAAGAAGGAACATTGAGAGACATAAGATCTGAGTCCCTGTAGCTGAATCTTGGAGTTTCTGTAGAAAATGTAAAGTAAAATGTTCTATTTTTTTCCAGTGAGCCAGTGAAAAAGCTCTCATTAATTTCAATAAAGCCATATCTTGACTTAGAGTTGTAAATCAGTATTTAAGGCTTATATTCTGCCTTTATTTATTTAGACTAAATATTATAGATGTAATTTCTAATTCTTACTCTTTTTTCATCTCAGCTCTGAGATAGTACAATCTCTCTCTTTGTACATATGTGAATTTTATGAGCCAAAGTGTGTGGCTGAGTATTGTTATTTTTTATATCCATTTATAGTATGATACCAGATCGCTCACTCATTTTAATAACTTCCATGTTTGTAATAATTCACAGAGTCAGGATGGCTAAATTCTCTCTCGTTGCCTGCGACTGATTTACATCGAAGTTGTGGAAAAATGAAATCTCTGTTCTTCAATTTCTTATTTCTAAAATGGGTAAAACATGGTCAGTACATGTTTCAGAGCAATCTTGAGTACTTTTAGTATTATAAGAGTGAATCATATTATTATCAATAGAAATGTCATTATTGTCCAAAACAGACTAAGGAACACTGGTGTTCTGCACTTCTGTTAATAAATACCCTCTAAACCTGAGGTATAACTGTCCCAGTAAAAAACCTGCTCTTGCTTCCCTTAGATCACTGGGAGCTATTTGCAATTTGTTTAGGACCAGGCTCCTGATGAACAAAACCTTCTAACAGCAAAATTGACTTCAGTTTCATCAAATCTGAGGAGCAGCATCAATGCCAGGATTATTCCACAGGAAGCCAAGTGCTTTGCGCTCAGACTTGTTCCCATGCTGTTGTGGACAGCTTTGCATCCCACCTCTCTGGGCTGAGTGGCTGAGCACCTGCAGCGGGCAGATTGATGCTCCATGTGGTGTGTGCTCTGAGCTTCTCCCTCTGGGAGGATTGTGCACAGAAAAACCATTCTGCTTTGGCAGGATCTTCTTTTTGTTTTATACGGACAAACAGCAGATGAAAGTGAAGGTCAGTAAGGTCAGGCTGGAGCAATTGACTGTGCAGTCCCTAGCAGGGAGTTGGTTGATTTTCCAGTGCTTTACATTTATAAAAGCATACTCATTGGACATGCTAAGAATTGTAAAATGTTGGTTTCCTTTGGGGGCATTAGCCTGATTTTCAGATAGCCTGCACCATATGGCAAAAAAAAAAAAAAAATTATATTGATCTGAGAAGAGACTGGACAAACCGAGAAGCATAACCCTGTTGTGGGGTGTTATATATACAGAAACTGTGTTTGATTTAGGAGCTACCAGAGCTGAAAATGGGGGAGAATATGAGGGAGGAGGTATCATTTGTGTTTACCATGGTCATCTTCTTTCTTAAGTGTTTTGTGGGAGCCTGGGCTGGCTGGATCCTTGGTCCAGCCCTGAATGATCATTCGTCTGCCCTTAGGCATTGAACTGGAAACTCTCCAGTACTTGCCATTTAAGGTGACTATGCACCCTGGGTTGGCAAGGACAGCCTGAGCATGAAGACCTTGCTCCTGTGATATCCCAAACCTCTTCTGGGTTGATCTCTTGTTTGAGGGTTTGGAAAGGGGATGTTGGAGATGGATTTTCCTTGTCTCTGTCTCTTCAGCTATGGTCCTGGGAACGTACCCTGTTCAATAGCAAGGCAGAGGAAGACAAGTGATGCCAGGTTTAAGCCCTCTGGGAAGTTATGTGATCCAGCATGTGATACAAGTCAGCTATGTGATGGGGAAAATCCTCTGAACTTGACTTAATTTTTTTGAAAAACATTTTGACCTATCTTGACAGCTGCCCTTTAGTGCTCCTCTATGAGTGTGCTCAGGGATGGGAGATTTGAACTGGGGCAGTATATGACCAGATGCACTATAAGCTTAGTGCCAGTGATCCTTTTAGAGCATATTCACTCTTTAGGATGGAGATATAGGTGAGTTTTTTGCTGTCTGCCATGGGACCACAGATCTTTGATGTCTGAGAAACTGTCTCATAGTTGAAGTCTCTTCCTCAAGAGCTGTGAGCATCTCCAGAGGAGGGTGCATTTGCTGGATAGCTCCTCGGGGTCGGGGCAGCAGCATACACCCAGCCTACATGCAGTAGCCCTGGCCACAAGCAGCCCAGTACCAGCAATAAATTGCAGCTCAAAATCACAACAGTCATCTAAGTCAGATAATATCATGCTCAAACAGTGAATTCAGGAACTTTCTGAAGTCTTCCTATTTTCTAAATCCAGTGCTAAATCCTTTATCTAAATCCTTTATGATTACATACTTACATATTCATATTGCTTTTAATCTGCATTTTATACCATGAGTGTTTCAGAGGATTACCAAAAGCACATTGTAAATAAGTTGTAAAAGAAATTATATACATAAAGCATGTCAAAGTTTGTTAAAACTGGAAAATACTTCTAACAAGCAGTTAGCATGCTGAAATCCTGTAGTTAAGGTTTAGCTGACCGCCACTCAAAGTTTTCCACTTTTAAGGATATAAGCAGATCAGCTATTAAGCATACTGGCAGATGACGTGGATCACTGAGGACTGCTTTGCTATGTTACTTTTTTTCAGAGTGTCCCTATGGTACCTATGGAATGGAATGCAGGAAAACCTGCAACTGTCCCTCTGGCATCTGTGACAGAGTAACCGGGAAGTGTTTGAAGTTTCCATTTTTTCAACTGTCTGCTTCAAAGCCCTCAAATCCACGAAAAATAGTTTCACACACAGGTAAGACTCACGGGGCAGCTGATTTTACCAGAAATCACCCTGTACATGATCTACTACCATGCTGGGTACGCTGTGTATGAGTGATGTGTACTTTGGTAGAGCTGTGCAAACACCTAGTACATTTATTTTTCTTACTGGCAGTTCCCTTAAAATAAGTCAAGGAATTAGATGGCCTGTGACACATGGTAAAAACATTTTGAAATCCTAATATGGGCAAAATACTTCACAGCTTGTTGCATGCGCTAGCAGTACAATGCCACCTGTGCAATGAGAGGCTATGCTACGATTTCCATTAGTCAGTTCACATGTGATGCATGTAGCTGCTTTGTTCAGAATAGGATTTCATTAGGTTGCATTTACAACTGTTAGCTAATATATAGTAAAAATAACACCTTTTTTTTCCATGAAGACAGAGCTTTCTATAGTTTCAGATGTCAGTGATGTGTTTTAGGAAATGTTTTATTGTAGTAATTTATAGCAGAATTTCTGAAATAAGTTCTTACCTTTAAAATTATGTCTGAAGCCTGTAACAGATCTTTCCAGAATTTAAAAAAAAGGTGTGAGCAACTGGAGTATTTTTGAGGCAGGAAGGAGAGATCACTGAAGTTTTTAAAGCTGGGATTAAAATTTCCCCCTTTGTTCTCCACCTGATGATACTGAGGTATATTTGACTGAACAATGTTTACTCTAAATTTAAACACCATCAAAATCAATACAAATGTTTTAAAATAAATGTCAGAGATTTAATCCTAGACCTATTGGTAGATTTTCTAGAACTTAAACCAAAAGTCTTTGAATTTTATTTCTCCTCCAACTGCAGTTTGTGTGCCTTATTTTGATTTTCTCCTGTTATATTAAGATATCTACAACTTGCTGTCTTAAAACATGATTTATCTTCCCCCCACTCTCTGTTTAGAGAAAGGTAGACAGAAGCAAACTTCTTCAGCTTATGCTCATGCTACATCTAAGATGATCTTGAAAGAAAATTTTGTGAGATGGATCAGTCCTGATCCTTTCATAATTTTTCTACGTGATTGTGCTCTTTTGCCTTTCCAGGTTTTGTTTATTACTAAGGGTACTGAAATAGCATGAAAAAACATTCCTGTCTTGCTTTCTTCTGTATCTAGACAACATTGCAAATCTTTCCAGGTAGTCTGTTTTCATCAGTGCCTCCTTCCCTTTCCTCTCTTTCCCTTGCTTTTTGTCCCAAATTTTCTGCTGCCTTGATGTTTAGCAGTTTGTCTCATCCCAGCCAGGATGAGATACTGACCCCGTAGAAACAAACAGTATTCTTCACCCATGCAAAGGTTTCACACCGATTTCTGTCCTTAGAGGTCTGGCACTGGAAGTAGACCAGGGACACTGTGGGTAGTAGGATGGTCACAGGGGATTGCACTTACAGTTTTCTTCAGATGTAGCTATAGCATCTAGGACAGATCCTCAGCAAATTAAAAGAGCTATGAATACTTTTGTGTTTTAAACAGGTGAGTTTCTGGCCCATATATTTTCCAAAGAGATTATGGCTACATATACTCTAGGAAATTTCACAGTGCCAGAGTGTGTTCCTGTGTACTGCAATTTGACCACCCCCATGGTCAAACAGTAGGACGCTGGCCAGCATGCTTTGTCCCAGCTAGCTAGACATGCCAAACAACCTGCTACAGCTCAGGAATCAGTGTCCAGGGACCATTTCCAGTAGACCAACTGGATATTTTTTACCTTTTTCTTGAGAGTAAGAGAGTTTAGTGGTATGCGCCAGGCTATTCCATGCCAGCTGGCCTCAGTCAGAGAATAGCTCCAGGCATGTGTAATTTACTGCAGTAGCTATTGAGTATGTGCTGCTTGTTCCCATGTCACACAGAGTGAGAACTGGAAACTGAAGTCAGATCACCTGCCTTATGCTTAAACTATTAGAAAACACATTTGCCTTATGCCATAATTTGGCAGAAATTTTGAAACTAGAAATTGGAGGCATTAAGGGATATTCCCGCAAGATTTGTTGGCTAAAGTTTTTCTGAAAAAAAAATTTCAGAACCTTTCCCTGTTCCCAAAACCAGGGGCATTGCTGCAGGACAATATTTTAATTCTCTCATTTTCATGAAATCCATTTTTATTTTTGTGTATTTTCAGAGAATGACATGGCATCAGGGGATGGCAATTCTGTAAAAGAGGAATTTGTTAAAGAGAAAGCTATTCACTCTCCGGTAATGAAATGGCTAAATCCTCGCTGAAATTTACTTGTACTCATAAGACTTTCAAGTGAATGCATTTCTCACAGATTATTGAATATGCAACAACACACTTTAAGAACAAAGTAGATCTATAGCATATGAAAATGTAACCTCTGAAGGGCAATTGTGATTCTGTTTTTCATGACAAAAATGTTTACTTAAAAATAGACTGTACAGTGTATATGATTTTGATATTTGTTTTGATACATATTTGAACAGAGAAATGCATTGTGGATTCCTGAATGTATAGTAGTATTAAAAACCCAACACAATTCAACACTCCTCATTTAAATAATGCCAGAGGCTGACTCTTGCAGCCTGAGGCTGGGAAAGCTCTCACTGAATGCAGTGGGCAGTTTGGGTGAGTGAAACCATTGGTGTGGAGCCAAGGTGAAAGAAACACACATCAACAAATCCCAGGATAGAAAGCAACACCCCTGAATCACAAGAATAATAATAACAACGTAGGAGCACAACAGTATGATTAAAATAAACCACTGTTAGTCATTAGTCATCTTCTGGTTTTTGGAAGTTTGGTGACACTTCTTTGGAGATAAATACACCTTTCTTTAGTGAAAAAACACTCAGTGTTCCAGTTTATATATTGTGAATAATGTAGCCAAGACACTGCAGACTTATGCTGTATTGAGGTGGATTTCTCAAGTTAAATTATATGCAGAGAAACAGCAGCTTGGTACATTATACAGATTTGTAAAAGGGGACCCAATATAAAAGAAGCTGCTTAGCATTATTTAAATATATATATATTTCTATATAGCAACTACTAGTGCCATTAAGGCAACGTCTACGTTTCTTGGGGAAGAGCGGGTTTGATGCCAGAGGCCAGCAAACAGACCTTCATACTTTCCATCTTCAGCACTAGCTGAAGCCCAGCTGCAACTAACAGGGAGTTCATCTGATCCAGCATAGTGAAGACTTGGACCCTCAGTGAGTGGTAGTGCAGCCACAGCCTACAGTACTTTGGTACCTACTCCTTTGTTTCTTGCTTGCATGAGCAAGTGGTCCCATTTCATCCGGGAGAACAACATACATTAGAGTGTTGTAGGAACCCTCAGTCCCTCATTCAGTTCAGACTGGACAATGTATTTGCAACATAAAAATCCATCCATCATGAGATGGGTTTGCTAATATATCTGGAAACAACCAGATCATCAGATAATGGAAATTGATGTAACTGTGCCAGAGTGCAGAGCACGCTTACTGGAAATGTGGTTTGAATTGAATATTTCCTTTGAAATCAATGTGAGTTTTGACAGTGACTTCAATTAAAGAAGGAGCACACAGTACTGCAGCCAAACTTTGGTACAGGATCTGAAAACATGCTTTTAAAACTACAAATGGCAGAAACTCCAAAGCCTTTAAAGAGTACAAATCCTGATCCAAAGCCAATGTCAGTGGAAGCAGGCTGCTTTCACCTGGGAAAGCATCATTGAACTGTGCTGCTCTAGAACAAGAGAATGATGGCAGCAGCAGACATCTAAATGTCAGTACATCAAGGCAGGCTCTCCTACCACGATAATTAGAGGCACATAAACATACATCTCAGCCTAGCATATACCACATTTTAACCTGTATTGGATGTTTAGGACTGAGAGGGAGCAGCATTATCTTGGGCTGTTTACAAGTAAGCGTATTGATTCTCATCTACTGATATCAGAAGTAATTTTTTCTTGACTTCAGTGAGAGCAGGATCAAACCCATCGTCCTTCAGCAGACTGAAGAGAATTATTTAAAGAATGTAGTAAATATTTGTATACATTATTATTATTTTCCAACAGTGTCATAAATGACATTATGAGGTCTTGAATGTAAATCTAATAAGCTGGTCAGTTTTAAAAAGTATATGATTATTATTGTTCAATAAAAAAACAACTGAAAGCATTGCTGTCTATTGTGTATATCCATTAATGACAGAGGAAGACTGCTGGTGATGGCATAGCCATGGTGCATCCAAACTAGGTATAGTTCTCCTCCCAAATCCACAGAAAGGGCTTCACAATGGCTGCATCTATTTCAGTGACTTTGCTGGGTATTATTCTCCATTGCTGAAGCTGAGTGGTTACCCAAGTCCAGAATGGTTTGTGACCATGCCATTTTCAGTCATCTTCACCTCCAAAGCAAGGTGGCTGGATCCAGGTTGCCATCTGGGGACAGATCCTCCCTGGCCAACCCCAGTGCAGGACGGGTTTGGGATTCTTCTTGCTGACCTGGCCACTGCCATGCCAGGGACCATTTAGCCCTGGGTCAGTGACTGCAACTCCTTGACACTGTTTGATATAGGAGTAAACTGTGGATCCACAGCTGGCAAATCAGACAGAGGAGAAGGAGAGGAATGCCTGTAAACTTTTTTTTTTTTTTTTTATGTTTTCCATAAAACTTATAAAATGTTCTTGCATTTCCTCAGCTTCTCTGGTGACAGATTTCTCTACACAGAATAGGTTCTGGGATGAAATTATAAGCTAATTTTATCCATTATCCTTTGAAATGTCTACCTGTTGCTACTCATGACAATGGGACTACACCAGTAAAAGAAATGCAAATTACCACAGAATCTTTTATGATTCTAAATGTAAACCCAACACTGACAAGTTCATCACTAAACCATGTCCCTAAGCACCACATCTATACGTCTTTTCAATATCTCCAGGGATGGTGACTCAGCCACTTCCATGGGCAGCCTGTTCCAATGCTTGACAACTCTTTCATTGAAGAAATTTTCCTAGTATCAAAACTAAATCTCCCCTGGTGCAACTTGAGGCCATTTCCTCCCCTCCTATCCACTTGTTATTTGGGAGAAGTGACCAACACCCACCTTGCTACAACCTCCTTTCAGGTAGCAGCAGAAGCAATAAGGGCTCCCCTCAGCCTCCTTTTCTCCAGACTAAATAACCCCAGTTCCCTCAGGGGCTGCTGATAGGACTAGTTCTCTAGACTCTTCAACAGATTTGTTACCCTTCTTTGGACACACTCCAGCACCTTAAAGTCTTTCTTGTAGTGAGGGGCCCAAAACTGAACACAGTATTTGAGGTGTGGCCTCACCAGTGCCAAGTACAGGGGGACGATCACTTCCCTGTTCCTGCTGGCCACAGTGTTTCCGATACAAGCCAGGATACCGTTGGCCTTCTTGGCCACCTGGGCACACTGCTGGCTCAAATTCAGTTGGTTGTGGACCAATGTCCCCAGGTCCTTTTCCGCCAGGCAGCTTTCCAGCCCCTCTTCCCCAGTCCTGTAGTCTTACATGGGGTTGTTTTGACCCAAGTGCAGGACCTGGCACAGACTAATTGAAGCTCATACAATTGGCCTCAGCCCATTGATCCAGCCTGTTCAGACCCCTTTACTAAAGTCCAGGTAAACAACATCCACAGCCTTTCCTTCACCCACTAAGTGGGTCACCTTGCCACAGAAGGTCAGGTTTGTCAAGCAGGACCTGTTTTTCATAAACCCATGCTGGCTGAGCCTGGTCACCTTGTTGTCCTGTACATGGCACATGATGGCACTCAAGATGATCTGCTCCATAATCTTCCCCAGCACCGAGGTCAGGCTGACAGGCCGGTAGTTGCCCAGATCCTCCTTACGGCCCTTCTTGTAGATGGGCATCACATTTGCTAACCTCCAGCCAACTGGGACCTCCCTGGTTAGCCAGGACTGCTGATAAAGGATGGAAGGTGGCCTGGTGAGCACTTCACCAGCTCCCTCAGTACCCTTGGGTGGATCCCATCCAGCCCCATAGGCCTGCGTGTGTCTCAGTGGTGTAGCAGGTCACTGACCATTTTCCCTTGGGTGATGGGGGTTTCATTCTGCTCCCTGTCTCTGTCTTCCAGATCAGGGGGCTGGGCACCTGGAGAACAACTGGTCTTACTATTAAAGACTGAGGCAAAGAAGGCATTAAGTAACTCAGCCTCTTCCTCATCCTTTGTCACTGTGTTCCATCCTGCATCCAGTAAAGGATGGAGATTCTCCTTAGCCGCCCTTTGGTGCTATTCATAGAAACATTTTTGTAATTGTCTTTTATGGCAGTCACCAGATAAAGTTCTAGCTGAGATTTAGTCCTTCCAATTTTCTCCCTGCATAAGCTCATGACATCCTTGTAGTCCTCCTGAGTTGCCTGTCCCTTCTTTCAAAGGCCATAAACTCTCTTTCTTCCTGAGTTCCAGGCCAAACTCTCTGTTCAGCCAGGCCAGTCTTCTTCCCTGATGTCTCATCTTTCAGCACATCATGATGACCTGCTCCTGTGCCTTTAAGATTTCCTTCTTGAAGAGTGTACAGCCTTCCTGGACTCCTTTGTCCTTCAGAACTGCTTCCCAAGGGACATGAAGTGATATTCATGGAACCAAGGACTCTCCACCAGCCTGTTCTTGATTTTCCACCCTTTTATCTTTCTACCTTTGCTTTCATATCTCTCCTGGCTCCTTGCTGCATACTCCAACTCATTTTCCCTATTTTGCATGTGTGGATTTTTAGACTTCTTCCCTTTCTTCACCCAACTCCATGTTCCACACATACTCTTTTCAACTGAACTTTCCTTCCCACATAAGCCTGAAGTTAGCTACAGATGTTCTTATCTCCTGGGGTAAAAGTCATGAGATGGTTAACCACACAACCTACTCTTGTAATCTAGTTTCTAGATTGGCTTTTAGTGGGATCATGTATTATTTCCAGTATGAATAAGTTTGGCAAATAGGCCTCATTTCTAGTAGGTAGACTTTATTTTCTCAACCACTAAACAGTAAGCTAGTAATATAGTCTTATATTTAATGCGGAATGACACTGATAATAAGTATGCTGTAATGCAATATTATAATTTCTATTACAGCTTGTATTATAGGATGTTGCAGGCACCATTACAGTTCAAACAATATATCATCAAATGTTTTAAAGTGATGCCTGAAATACACTGAATAGAAAAGCCTGAAATATAGTCAGATGTAATAAATGTATTTCCAGTGTGGACCAACTTTTAATGAAAAACGGCATTATCAGCTTCAGCTGTGCAAAACATCTTTAACATACTTTAATGCACAATTTCATTATATAAATACATTCACACAAGTATTGTGAGATATATCACTGTCTATTCACCATGGTGTGATTAACAGTATAAATTTGCCACTCTGATCTGCTAGGACATACATATTAGAGCAAACACACCAAAGTATATATTTTAAATGAAAATATATTTATTATCACCTCTGTACATGCTTGCTATCTATTTAAATGGACTGTCAGGTCACAGCAGTGCTTTGAAAGTATTTCCTGACACCTGCAAAGTTGGTAAATATTTCCTGTTTTTGTTGTGTCTGCTGAAAATAGGAATTTTACAAGTTGGACTGATAACTTGACAGACACCAGGATCTCCAGTTTGGTAGGTCTTAATATGGTTTACACTGGCATTTGTGACTGTTTGAGGAAACCTGGGCTGACAAACTGGCATGTTCTGGCTTTCTTGCTCTCTCAAAATAGGCACCAGCGCTATTTAAGTGCTGTCAATTGTCCATCTGTCTTCTGGGTGGCCACAAACCATGCACAACCCAGAGACGCATGTTTAATTTTTGCAGAATGGGTGATTATAGCAATTAAACAGGTGTTAATACAGCGAGACCTCTGAATGCTGAAGCATTCCTTCCCATCTCTTTACACAGCAGCTGCCAGTGAGCGCTGTGCATATGTGCTGGGTGCCTTGGTCATGGCCGAATTGGTCAGGTCTAACCAGGCCTGGAGAGCCTGGCTTTTCTGCAGGCACTGGCTGGAATCCGGCTGCTGCCCCAGCAGTCCCAGCAGCCCTGTATCCACTGCATTGCCTTCCTGCAGGATTCTCATGGCAGGCAAAATGCTTTGTGTAAACAAACAAACCTGTGTTTGGATGAAGAAAAAGAGATTTCCTTAACTTTATTAGTACACGATGCTCCTGATCCTCCCTGATCCCCTCCCATCCACTAGGTTTTCAAAGTAGCTGCCATTCAGATTCATGTGCCAGCTCCCTTCCTTCTTTTGAAAGCTATCAGAGAAATATTCAACTGAAATGAAGGGCAACAGTTGATTATGCATGAGCTGATCTTCACCATTCTAACAAGACACAGATTAATCTTTCTTGAAATGACATAACTGATGCAGTCTTTCTGCTCTGCAAATGCTGAGCCTGTAAAAGTCTATTTGATAAACTGGGACAACTGAAATCATATGAACATTACTTGAAAATATCTTTCTTCCTCACAAGAGAAACATCTATTTTTGAAGAACAAATAATGGATTGGAATGCCATTGAAATCCAAACACAATATTAGTATGTTCCTGAAAAAAAAAGGTACAATGCTGGGGGAGAATGCACCAGAGCCCTTGCAGCTGTGTCACACTTTCCTGTTTGTTATTTTTAGTTTTCCATTCCCGCTTTTTATTTTGGGCTTTGCTTTGCTTCCTATGCAGCTTCCCTTTAACTCCCGTATAGCTCTTTCTTACATATTTGAAGCATTTGGCTCTTTTTTTTTTTTTTTTTTCCTTCTTCAAAGGAAACCCAAGCAATGCTGTCCAGTTTCAGGAACTCTTGTTTCTCTTGGCAGTGGTTGAGTTCTTGGTTTTCTAAAGGCATTTAGGAAATTTACACTGATAGTTTTCAGCTTTGAACATGCTCAGGCTTTGCAAGCATAAGAAAAGAGTAGCACACAGGGAGAGCCCCAGTCTGCTTTTCAGTATGTCCTGATCTTTGCACCTGGGAAATCACCAGTATCTAGTCCCACATTAAAGTTCCATGATGGCATTTAATAAAAATAAGGAACAAAATGGGCTCTGGTGAAACACTGTCTTATAGAGAAGGTTTTTTTCCCCCCTTGTTTATATATTGAAGTGTTTGTAATCTTGTACAGCCATATAGCTGATCTA